ATAAATCCCTTGCAGCATCAATGAGATTGAGATTTAAAAAGACTTGGGGGACATAATAAGAAATTTAAATGCAATATAAATGAATGTTCAGTTACCTATAGAGAGGCCACATATTAATTACCACGAAGATTCCACCTTCAAAATAACTCATGAGTTCCCTATTTGAGATTGCTGTGACAGGAATCAGCGATGGATGATTTATAGATGGGAGGCAGTTCTGAAGAAACATCTGTGTGACATAGAGAGTATATGGGAAATATATGACAATCAATCCATTTAGTGTGTCGCTTGTTTCCCATTATACATTTTTTTAAATCGTATCATTTTATAGAACACAAAGTGAAAAGAAGTTACTTTCAGTAGAGTTTTCGTTCGGAGGCTTCATGACATTCTCTGACACAGGTAAACTCCAATGCAAAAGAATCTGAGACAGTCTGAGCCAACACCTGAGTCCACTCAGTAGAATCCATTTCCCCTGCAATTAGTGTCTTACCAGCAGGAGGGCTGGTAACTTGTGGGCACTCAAGAGTGCATCATTTTGTGTTTATTCAAAATAATTAAAATAATTCCCAATATACAGCACAGCCTATTTATCCAGCTACTGAGATCTTCCAAGTCCTCAGAGTATACATTAACTCTTCTCTCTTTTGGATTATTTTTGTTTACTTTGCTAGCGTGTGCATGTTTACATGTATGCAAATTCATATGTGTGGGCACACACATGCCTATACATGAAGGCCAGAAGTTGCCACTGAGTGGCTTCCTTGCTCACTCTCCACCTTATATATACATTGAGGCAGAGTCTCTCATTTGAATTCAGAGTTTGCGGTTTTGACTTTTAACTAGCCGGCTTGCTCAGAGGCTCTCCGTCTCACCAACTGAGCAATGGGATTGCAGATGGGCCCCATGTCCACTGCCGTTTACATAGATGCTGGGGATTTAAACTCTGGTCTGCATGCAGCAAGCATTTTGCCTCCCAAAGCCTGTGTTGTTGAGTTTTGTTTTGCAGGGGCATTTGTTTGTTTGGGCTGGTTTGGGGTTTTTGCTGTTGTTGTTTTTGTTCATTTGTCGGTGTGATTTTGTGTTTTCAGTTTTATTTACCTTTTTGTTTTGAGACAGGGCCTCAGTATGTAGCCCATGCTGGCCTCATAGTGGAGATCTTCCTGCCTCAGCCTTACAAGTGCTAGGATAACAGGTATGTCACCTGACTTTCTGGAAAGAGAAATTTTGAATGACCCCTAACCTCTTGGTTAAACAGACCTCATCTTCTTTAAACAGACAGTAGTCCCACACACCATTCATTTATCTAATATTCATTTACCTAGGATATTAAAGGACAAGAGAAAAATCCTCTGAATGTAAGAAGAAATCCATCTCTGGATTAATAAAAACTGTCATACCCAAAAAAAGATAAGCCATGACGTGGTGCGTGACATCGGCAACAACTGGAAGCCGAATGCAGGCACTCAGACAAAGAACACAGACACACGAGCATCCCAGATGGAGATGACTCATCCCCCTTGGGAAGGGGCAGTTCCAGTCCAAGCTAGTCCTAGAACACTCTGTTCAGAGTTAGCATCCTAGCCAGTCTTGAGGATATTTGGGTCAGAACCCTTAGAACTACATGGTGTTGTCTGTCCTTCCCAGCTCACATCGTCTCCATCACTGGACACCAGTTAGCCTCTGGGAGGACTTCCTCTGGAATGCAGGTGACTTGTGGCTTCTGGGCATCCTTGAATCATTGCAGTCATAGCACACTGCACATTCCTAAGCCTGGAATCAAAACACTCTCCCACAGAAAGACTGTCCCAGAGTAAGAATATCTGACCTAGTTGTGCCACTTCCCAACGCAACATCTGGAGGGAAAAACTGGACTTAATCAGATGAGTCAGAATTTATGCGAGATATATGTGTATGAATGTGTGTGTGTGTATGTGTGTGTGTGTGTGTGCGCGCGCACGCACGTGCGTGTGTACTAAACTGACATTTACATAAATGCCTGCGAAACCAAAGCACAGAGGACAGAAGCAAGCCAGGGAATTAAGGTCTCTTGGAAAAAGTAAAAAAAAAATATCTCCCAGCAAGATTTGACTACGCACTGTTAAGTTTGTATAAACTTGGTGGTGGGGTAAACCAAATAATTAATGGCTATGTAACCACCAGTCAGTCATCTACATGGCTCAAGACCCAAAAGCAGACATCTGTTTAAGCATGTTAGACAGCAGTCTCCATACCGCTTCCAAGCTCATACAGACAAGCGTTTAGAATGGGGGGACATTCTTGGTCTTTCTGCCTGGGCCCACCACACATGGATCTATAGTTTCCTGGACATGTAAGAACAATGCTGAATTGTTCTTAAGATTCAGGCTTATGTTGGGTTTACTATTATTGTTGTTGTTGGGGGATTTTGTTTTCTTTGAGACAGGGTGTGACTTATATAGCCCTGTCTGCCTTGGAGTCAGCTATATAGGCCAGTTTGCCTTGACCTCCCAGAGATCTACCTCCTGAGTCCTGGACTTAAAGGAGTGCCCCACCTGACCCAACTCTCATAACAGTCTTGATGTTTTAAAGGTTTTAGTACTCAGAAACATTTTCACAGACAATCCTCTTGATCATAAGGCTGAAACGTTAAAATTTTAACTTTATCTTATTTTTAATAGAATGCCCAAAACTTTTTTTCTACAATTACTAAATTTAGGGGAGATAAGCGGTGATTAAAATAACTATATTGTGAGGAATACAACCAACATTCTCTGGAGAGCTCTAAGTCATTCGCGCATGCCTTCCAAACTGGCAGAAGTACCCACAGATTAAAGGACACATAACTAGCTTCTTGAAGTGTCTTAAAGATCTCACTACAGAATCTACTTGACAACGAAAATGGGCTTAACCATCTGTGTCTTGTGGTGAAAGACGTAGGTTACACACAACATCAAAATCTCACCTGAAGCCTTTACATAGGCCTAGTATATATAGTGTGCAAATTCAGCTCTTAGGTGACCAGGATGGGAGCCATGATTCAGACCTCTGTGTGTAGAGTGTCAAGCCATCGCCAGTGTGCAATCTCAGCCTCAAGGTCAAGGACGACCCCTCACAGTTCTGCCAACCACCCATCACCACATAGGGTTCTAGTGATGCTGTTCACCTCTAGGCTGTTTTGTTGTTGCTATTCTTGCTGTTGTTTGGGGTTTTTTTCTGTTTGGTTTGGTTTGTTGTTGTTGTTTTGTTTGTTTTGTTCTATTTGCACTGCCAATCACTCCTTTACCTGCACAGGTTTGTTCAACTACGTACTTCATCTTCAAAGCCTTTTATGCAGAAGTATAGTGTAAGTTTCTAAGTTACATTTTTATTGCACACACCCCAGGTTCCCCAGAAAGACTAAATGAAAAGAAAACTTCATCAGCTACAGGCAGTCATGGAGGTCTTCAAATGCTTCACAATGCAGCTTGATATGAAACATTCTTGTTCCATGACAGCCCCCAGAGTAAGCACTTTTTGATTGTCATTCAGGCTGTTTGTCAGCGTGCAGTGCCTCCCTTCCAGCCCAGGGTAGGATGGTGCTCGCTCCTGACCCTTCTGCTAAGCCAGTGGGCGCATGCCACCTGTCCTGGTGAATGAATGTGAGCAGGGGTGTCACTTCCTAGCCTCTTCTCCATGTCCATTTCCTTGCCTGTCATGGTGCTCGATGTGTGTGTGACTGTTCAATCAGCCTCAACCCTGAATAAAGAGGACAATGGTGTCCAGAAGAGATACGAGGTAAGCAAACAAACAAACACGTTATTTCAAGTTACTGGACTTTGGGGATTGCTTGTTACGGCAACACAGCATCCCTGGCACTCTAGTCCTAAGTGAACTGTTATTCTTTCACAGAAAAGAAATGGTGGGGCACTGAGCATCATTGCAAATGTTACTCTAATCCAAAACAGAAGAAATGTGGACTCTGCTACATGACAGCATGCATATGATTTGCAGATACATGGGTTATGGACAGGCACTTACTAAAGCTGATTTTTCTCCAACTCCGCCCTAGTAAAACTGCTCAACGCCATTGGATAATCTACAGTCTTCAAAATCTCATAGAAAAACAAAGTTCTTTGACTTGAACCCATTTGTCAAAATCATTTGCAGGGTCACATTTCCAAGACCAAGTCCATTAATCAAATGGAGCTTCATTCTGAGGTATCAAACAAATTAGCTAGCTGTTCTGCTCCTGTGTCATTGAGGAGGGCCAGGCTGACCCAGGAGGAGATGATTCAAACAAAAAGGGAAACATCCAAGCATAAACAACATTAGAGAACGCTTACCAAGCCAAAAGGCAACACTATATTCCCTCACTTCTAAGAGGTGAAGCCTGAGCCCAGCACAGTTAGAAAAAAAATTCACAAATGCCCCATGTCTGGTTGGTTTCCTTTATGTAAAAACCTGAGGCGTTTTGGTGGGGGGGTGTCTGGAATGCATATCTGAGCATTGTGTTCAAACGGGGACTCATAAACATGATCACATGTAGTATACTTACAGCCTGCACAATCCCGTCCTCGCCCTCCCCCACGTTCATTTGTAACAGTGTAACTGGAAGATTTTCTTCCTCAATGCAGAAAAGAATTGCTTGAGTTTCTTGTTTAAGTAAAGAGAAAAGTGTCGGTTTTCGATTTGCTTTGAACTGGTGAGTCAGGGAGCCATGAATGATGTCATACGTTATCCTTCAATCCCTGATGTGGTTCTATCTGCTCTCAACTCAGTCCTGTCCCGTTTCCGCGGCAGACATTACTCCCCGGGTTCCATCCTTTCTTCTTTGGCTTCTCTCCAGCCACAGGTTAGCAGCCTGGCTAGCAGGGGATATAGAACAGGAAGTCTGACCCCTTTGGCCGGCTGCGGGACCCCTAGTGTTTTCCCACTGGGCGTCCTGGCCTGGTTCCCCAGAAGTACAAACACACGCACAGAGCCCCATTGTTGCCGCCTTCCCGGCCCACTGATCCTAATATGGAATGCAGCAGGGAACCCACGATTTCCTGACGCTCGGCAAGCTGGAGGAAGCGAGGGGGGAAACTCCGTTTAAAAGCCCTGCTCTCCTCCATGTTAGCTGTGTGCTGGAAAACCAGACAGGAGTTGTCCAAATCCCACCGTGTCATCAGCCAGGCTGGGGATGGGGAGGGCAGAGTGAGACTCTCACAGGCTGCTGAGATTTCTAGACTGCCAGGAAGTCCCGGGAAGTGTGTGGAAACGAGAGCGTCTTAACTCCAGCCAGTGGAGGAAAGGGACAGACCTTTTACATCCCTCTTCCTAAGAGTGCGTTACCTTTCTTCTCTCCCAGCATGGTGAGCAGCAGGGCTGGCCTGTGTCTAGGCTGTGCCTGGGAGAGCCAGGCCAGCCACAGTCAGGCCGCCTGAGCTCCAGCCTGGGGCCAGTCCCACCGTTCCATGCTCTGCAGAAGCCCCAGCCCCGGCAGCAGCAGCAACAGCTGGAGCCTCCAACATGAGCTGCAGAGAAGGGGCTGACAGCAGCTGCGGCTGCGGTGGGCGCGACGAGAACAGGATCCTCAAGTGCGTGGTGGTCGGGGACGGCGCGGTGGGGAAGACTTGCCTGCTGATGAGCTACGCTAACGACGCCTTCCCGGAGGAATACGTGCCCACTGTGTTTGACCACTATGCAGGTAGGAAAAAGTGGGGACCAACTTTATCTAGATGAGCAGGGGGATGGGGGCACAGCCCAAGCTCAGAGGGGCCTGGCTTACCCAGAAAGTCAGAGCCAGATGTGGACCTGGCAGGAACCAAGTTAACTCTAGAATGTTGCTAGGATTGGGGAGAACCTGAGCATCAATTTACATGGTACCGCCTTCCCACCTTGAGCAAATGTGCAACCCTGGAAAATATCCTCCAGACCTCGGGGCCAGAAATTTTTCTCAACACTTTTTTGCCTAAACCTCCCTAAACTTTTCACGATGATCTTCTTTTTTTTTTTAAGTGTAGTGTAATTGCATAAATTTCAATTTTAAAAAAAAAATCACCACTAGACATGTGGGAAGAATGCTTTACTCCTTCAAGCTAGTCAGTCATAAACGAAAATGCTGAGAAAACCAGCCAATAAAACATTCTCCTTTTTTCTGGATTACTGGGGCCTTAAATTTCGTCTTTCTCCCTCCTGGGGTGGTAGATGAGGAGGAAAGTGTCCCAAGCTTTTTTAATATTGACTGGGAAGTTACGTAAAAGATTGCTATGCTTTAAAAAATAAAGATTCAAATGCAAATAAAATCATTTTCCAGTAAGTCCTGAAAAGACAAATGAGTATGAACTATTTTAAATCATGTTCCGATGCTGTCGTCATACCTTAATTCTTTCAGGGGACTTTTAGTTTTCGAGTGTTTGGTAACTTGCACCCTGCATGTTTCCCATCTTATCCGCGACCTGTAAGCTTCCCCTATGGGAACTGATGAGTTCCTCTCAGCTCACGGTGGCCTCGGTTTTATAACATTTTTGGAACACAGCGATCACCAGTGAGTTACCAGGGACCTGGGATCTGATGGGAGGCCAAGGCTTGGGATCAGGTCAGTGTTGAAGGAAGCCGCCCACAGGAAGCCAGCCTGAGTCTCTGCTCTATGGCCATTTGAAATCCTCCTTCCTCCCTCCATAGGAAGTAGCTGCTTCTCCGTCCAGAGTACCATAGTCACCCCCATCTTCCCTTCCTTTTAAGTATACATATTTGTAATAGTGGTGTACAGTACACCCGGGAGAGATTCGCTGCTGGGGAGGGGGTCCATTTCCTAACAGGTTTTTTTTTATATTTGTAGAAATTACCTGCACATTTTAATAGCAAATCTCCTGAGCGTTTCTGAAAACATACTGAGTATGTCCAGGGAAGAACTTTTTAATGAGAATGGAACAAAGATAAAAACAGACTTTTCCTGTTTGGGGGGATGGGGGAGAGCGGATGTTGTAAAATACAGGGCTCTGTACCTTGAGGAAGGGATTCCGATTCTGGTCCCGGGACACTGTAGCAGAAGTTGTTTCTCCTGTTATCTTCTTTATGGTAGAAAGAAAAAAAAAGCTAGTACTTTATTTCAGGAGCTTTCTGATCAAAGATGGAACTGAAAATCTACTAAAAGGAAAGTCTTCTAGTGCCTGGGAAATTATGTCTCTGGATACCCATCCCTCGGGTGAGCCAATTACAATCCTGTTGGCAAGAAAGACAAAACCATCTTTGGCAATGAAGTTACCCTATTAAGAATAAAAAACTGAGGTCAAAACAGCTAGACTTTGCTAGCATGAAGTTATTTTATATTCCAATTATATGACTAGGGCTTGAGCACCAAAAGCCCTCAAAAAAGTTTTACTGTTTGGGTTTTTATGAACTAAACTGTATTGTTTTAGTTCCTGAGGAATCACAGCCCTCAGACACGAAGCAGTTCTTTGCACACAGCAGGCCTTCCTGAACACGGTCACTTCAGTTTATGCTACATACGTCTTTCATATGTGATCGTCTCATGTGCTGTCCCTGTGGTTAAAGGGGAAGGAAAAGCATGAGCCACACTCACACCAGAGATGCAGGAAATGCTGATTTCCATCCCAAAGACTCCACCCAGCTCTTCCTGCTCGGGGATGCATCAGCCCATAGGTGGCCATCGGGAAGCAAACCAACTCTAAAATAAGCTAAGGCCCCTTCCCCATCTGGATCCAGTTATCAGTTCCCTGGGTCCCACGGACCCACTCTGATAGGACAACAGGAAACACAGCTGCTGTGTCTTTAGAAAAGTGGCCTTGAAGTCAGGGACAGCCTGTCTTTTGAGGATGGCTCACTGAGGAGAGTGTGTATGTAGTAATAAGGACAGTGTGCCGCAATATCACATAATCCACTTCTGATACTGTCTTTTCCATTTACTCTGTAGCCTTGAGAAAGTTACTTAACCTCTCAGTGCCTCTGTTCATAATAGGAACAACAGGGACAATAAAGACTTTTGGATTGTTTTTTAAAATGAATTCATGTGTGTAAAGTTCTTATTAGTGCCCAACACACAGTGTGGGGTCAGGTATCATACCAAGGTCTGTACACACAATTATGAAATCGAATGAGAATGTTATTAAATGATAAGAACTACAATGGAGGGGGGGTAATTTCAAGAGTATGCTGTGATAAAAGCAGAGGCGGGATGGAGCACATTATTATCCTTATAAAATAGCTACCATGGAGCTAAGGACTGACAGCCCTGGCTACTGCAGTAAATGCGCGACGTTAATGTAAGAGGTAAAATGCCAGACTTACATAAGTAGTGGCAGAAGAAAGAAAAGGCTGGCGGGGAGTGGAAGTTTTATTCCTCCTAATTTATTTTTCCCGTCCTTCCAAACTAGCAGAGTCCCAAAGTACACCAACTCCATGTGGCTCTCCTGAGGAGAACTCCTTGATCTGTGTCCAGTCCACTTCTCAAAATGTGTTTACATTTCTAGGGCACAGCCTGCACCATTCTGTCCTGATTTATGAGTTTCCTTTACTGCCACCTCCTCCCCTCTCTGAGTTCTGACTCTCCTTAAAGGAAGATCATCCCTTGCCACATCCTGCTGCTGGTGTCTTGCCCTGTAGCTTTGATGGTTAGCGACTCTCCTTAAAATACATTCATAGCGTGGTTTCTGGAACGCCTCCTCCCTCACGGCTCTGTTCCACAGCCCGCCCCCCCAAACTCTTTCCACCTCCTCTGGGTCTCCCTCATTTCCCAAGGGCTAAGTGGTAACATAGCTCAGTGGTTAGTCCCTTGGTTCCCTTCTCTAGTTAGTCTCAGGACTCAGATGTTAGTATCTAGTTTCACAGCTGAAGATAGCATTGATATACTGCCAGTTTCATCTTCATATCTGCCCCACCAAGTCTCAGAACACTCATCTATGCAACTGCCCCATTCCGTTTATATGTCTCATAGGCCTCTCCAACCAACGTTTGTTTTAATTTTCCTATCTGCTCTCCCACCTCCCCTCTCCACATAAGACCACTGCTGGTTTCTCCTGCCCAGTGACTGAGAGCAAGCACCAGTGTTGCCTGTGACTCCTTTCTTCTTTTGACAGCATCCTCCTCCCTCTCCAATCAACCATCGGTTCTTATCCGTTGTCCCTACAAATGAGCTCAGCCTTCACAATGCACCAAGAACCAACCATGACCACTTGCCATCACCCTATTCAGTGCCTTTTCTCCTATCCACACCACCATCTCTCATCCACACTGCTGTGGTGGCCTCTCAACTCTCTGCTTCAAAACCTGTCCCCTGTGCGTCTCCACCTAGGGGAACCATCCTCAATCCCAGCCCCCGAGTCCCTTCCCTCCACACTCACACGCTTCCTTTGCCATAGTGCACAAGGTGCTCCATGACTCTGTCCATTTTCCCTCCTCTCATCTTCTAACCCTGTTCTCAGTATTTCTGCTGTAACCACAGGGGCCTCCTTACTGTTTCTCATGGAAGACTCCTTGAATGTCTGGCATTCGCTCTTACCCTGAACACCCCGCTCCCAGGTCTGACCTAGCATTGATTGGTTACATAATTTAATCCATGTGTCTGTGCCTGTGTGTTCACAAAACAAAAGCCCACACGTACACATGTGCAAACACACATACACACATGTGACTCTAACCTCTTGTTCTGTTATACCTTCCTTTGCCATATTTAATATTAGATGACATTGTGTGTTTACTGGCTATTGTCTTTGTTACAATTTCTATTGCCATGAAGAGACACCATGACCATGGCAACTCTTACAACTCTTAACTGGAGTGGCTTGCATTTTCAGAGGTTTAGTTCATTATCATCATGGCATGACATGGTGGTGTGCAGGCAGACATGGTGCTGGAGAGGTAGCTGGGAGCTCCTATGTAGGCAACAGGAAGTGGTCTAAGGTTCTGGGCAGTGTCTTGAGGATATGAGACCTCAAGGTCTGCCCAAACAGTGATGCACTTCCTCCAACAAGGCTACACCTACTCCAAAAAAGCCATACCTCCTAATACTGCCACTCCCTTTTGGGACCATTGTCTTTCAAGTCCCACAGCTATCTTCAGTTTCTCAAAGCAGAGCCTGGCACATATTTGGCTCCCAGTAGATAATCACTGAGTGAACTAATTCTAAGCATGCATTGCCTTGGTCTCTCCAGCATTTGAGTCACCTCTAGTCCATTAAAACTTTGGTGAATAGGACTAAAGGAATAGTTCGGTGGTAAAAGCCTTGCTTCACATACACAAGCCCTAGTTTTGATCCCAAGTATTGGAAAAATAAAAATCTCTAACAAATCTATAAAGAAATTGCTGGTCCAATATTTATTTCTTTAAGAATAAAAACAAAAACTATTTGCTAGGTGTATTCTAACTTGCTTGGATTTTTTTACATTTTAGATAATCATCTCCACTCTATAGCTATAATATAGTAATAATTAACTTTACCTTTATCAAATCATGTCACCCTACAGTGTGTAATGTCACTCAATTTCCTCCATCTGAATTAAACTCAAAAGCTGGGCTATATTTGGTATAGCCCACTCAAATAGTTGTACTTTTTATAAGACCAAATTCAAGAATAACACAAGTTCCACTGAGGGTTAGGATCACAGAGCAGGGACAGTGGGAAAATAGAAAGGAAAAATGGTATTTGCTATGATCCTGCCTGATAAGGAATCTCTAGGCCCTGCTTCC